TGTTTGTGATTTATGACTGGTTTCACACAGCTAGGATATTGCTCAGATATTTAACTCTGCTGCTGTCAATATTCGTTTGTCAGCCTCAGTGCAATTTGCTGTATTGTTTGGCCTGTTCAATGATGAGTGTGATAAAAACATGTCATTGTGTGATTTTTTTGAAAGTAGATGTCTGGATGACAAGAGTAACCAGTGCACATTTTAATTAAGCCTATCCCTACATGGGCATTTATGATTGTTAATTTGACAACCATAACATTCACAGTGCAATACATACTGATAGGATCAGTTAACAAATAGAACAGTGTCATAAGACTCACCTCTTTCAGGAGGCGGTGGTGTAACCTAGTGATTACAGCATGATAGATTCAAGAGATCCTTGAAATTTTGAAACCAAACGTTAGTGGTTATAGCACCCTGTCGTTCGTTACTTATTTCTTAATAGTCATCCAGAACTCATTGCAATCACTCATATTTGCAGCTTCGTTTAATTTCTGACTCATATGTATTTTGTGCAGATTTTGTTTTGTTTTACACATATTTTCAAATTCAGATTTTGAGGAGAAATAATCTTTTAAGTTAGAGTCACTCTTGAATGACCTGAACCGATTTAACAGCATATATTTTTTAGATTTAAGTGACAGCACTCTGCATCAAACAATGAGTTGTTCTTCCAACTTGTCAATTCCAGTCCCAACTCTATTGTCATACACAGGAGTGAGTGAGTGAGTTAATGTTTAACGTCACATCATACACAGGAGGGGCGGTGGGGTAGCCTAGTGGTAAAAGCGTTGGCTCGTCACGCCGAAGGCCCGGGTTCGATTCCCCACATGGGTACAATTTGTGAAGCCCATTTCTGGTGTCCCCCGCCGTGATATTGCTGGAATATTGCTAAAAGCGGCGTAAAAGCATACTCAGTCAGTCAGACAGTCATAGACAGGAGAATGTTCAGGGTGCATGTAGGTGAATATCAAGAACAGTTGCAAGGAGGATGTCGAATTGGCATTTCTGAAAGATAGAACATTATTCCACTGGCAGTACACTTGTTCATACAGCGAGGATATGCATTTCTTTATTCACATAGCTATGCCACCTGAAAACCGACCCTTAGTTGCAGTTCGTTTGGCATTACAAACCAATACATCATATTCATTAAATATATCTTGCAAGGTATCTAATGCAACAGTACACATTGTTTCTATTAAGCAAAAAATATTAAACTGTTTGCAGAATGTAATGACCTACTGAGTTTGGTTTAACGCCGCTTTTAGCAATATTCCAGCAACATCACGGCGGAAGAATGTAATGATATAGTCGATATATTTAACTTTCGATTTTAAGCCATTTATGTTCCACATACAGATGCCTGTACTGCTTGTTGGATTCACCAAGGTGACATCATCGGCAGTAGACGTGATTGACAGCAGATTGAAATCATGCATTCTCACAGAAACATATCTTCTAGACATTAATATTAAGAAATTCAGAACAGCACTAGACCGTTTCAGATATAGTTCCCATGATCTTCTAATAGAAAAAGGTAGGCATTTAGGGATACCACGGGAAAAATGATTGTGTAAATATTGTACTTATCAGGAGTTAGAAGATGAATATCATTTCTTGCTTGTTTGTCCATTGTATGCAAATATCAGAAAAGAATACATAAAGAAATATATCTACTTGAACCCCCGAATACACAAATTCTATACCCTCATGGCATCCCAAAATCAAACAGCCACAAAATACCTTGCAATGTATATATACCATGCCATGAATATGAGATCCTCTGCTTTGCAGATGTGATATTATTTACTTTATATTCATTTATATTGCACCCTCTGCTACTGAATGTTATATGTACTATAGGCCTACGGCCTCTTCAGTACTGTAAATAAAGATTGATTGACAGCAGATTGCTCATATCATTATCAGTTATTGTGCCAGTTCCGTTGCACAACAGTGAAGATGTATTGTCAACAGGTAGGGAATCAGAGTTTGACTGGGAGGTATTATTGTGACATCCATCCCTGTTCATCCCTGTTAATCCCAGTAGAGCCCAAATAATTAGAGGAATCTTTGTAAGAACTTAAGTCAGGACCGGAATCCTATTGTGTCAAGTTGGCCGTCACATGAGACTGACTGACTGAGTTTGGTTTTACGCCGCTTTTAGCAATATTCCAGCAACATCACGGCGGGGGACGCCAGAAATGGGCTTCACACATTGTACCCATGTGGGGATTCGAACCCGGGTCTTCGGCGTGACGAGCCAACGCTTTAACCATTAGGCTACCCCACCGCCCCCCGTCACATGAGACGAGTCAGAGGGTCGGTTTACTTTTCGTGGAACCCTACCACGCCTTTGACCTATTTGCTTACTGCCACGATTTCCGTCATCATAGACAAAAACTTTCCCATCAGTTACAAGCTTGTCATAATTGAGGAAAGCTGTCCTGCCTTCATCTCGTGCAGATTTCCTATAGTGAAACAACTGTGATCTCGTATCGCGAACTCTCTGTGTAAAGTCCTCTGACACTCTAAACTCTTTATTTCCTGTAAGGCACTTGTTTGCAGCATAAAAAAAACATCCCATTTGACTTTGAAAAGGGTAAACCGTACAATAAGTGGCCTGGACTGTGTTTTGGAAAATAATATATGTGCTCTCTCAATGTGCAGTAAAGATGCATTTTCTATATTGAGTGATGTTGCCATAAAATCTCTCAGCCACTGCTCACTCTCCTGCCAAGTTTCCTCCCTTCTATCCGGTAAACCATGGAGAATAAGATTGGATCTGCGGGATTGTGCTTCTATCTGATCTGTTTTTAATTCTATTTCAGTAACATTGTTTCAGAGCAAAACGTTTTTTCTTGCAGAGAAGACAGACGCTGGATGTAATCTAGAGCAAACCTATCAAGCTTGTGATTCATGCTTGTCACCTGTCCCTGCAGAGGGGCGAGCTGTGTAGCTGGGTCATTAAGAGTGGTCTGCTGTTATTCTCCTGGTATACAATGGCCAGATACATTCTCTACTGATAATCGAGTTTGCATTATGTTAGGAACGGATTTGGGAGGACCTGGGTTGGACTCTACATCTCAGGCAACAAGCAAGAGAGTCATAGTCAACAGAACAAGTCCCAACACTGGACGTGTCCCCTTGGGTAGCGTTATACCGGGGTGTATCACATGTGGACTTCTGCACCGAGGATTTAAACATCCTATTGTAGCCCTCCATGCAACAATATCGATACTCATATATTCTCCAATAGGTTAGAGTGTACAATGAACGGGTATATTCACCACAAAACCGTGTCCAGAACTCACCTGAAATATGATATCAAGAATTTGTTTCTCAGAGCAAATTCACAACAGCCGCCAAATCTGAGACCACGTGACCCCATTTTTGGAGACGAATTATTCTTCCCCCAAACTACTATTTTCTCCAATATTACCATTCAGGATATCCAGACTTAGTCTAAGTGTTAAAGACCCCAATTACAATAAATCGTATGCCGTTAAAAAGATGGAAAGAGTCTTTGAAACACAGTATAACACACTGTTAAGAAACTTGATGACAAATAGATGTACAAAAAGTGACAATTTGAGATGGTTACAGATAAAGATCTTATATGTTATTACCTACGAGGGCGAACATATCGGGGTTGATATTTTTCATACGATGATTTAGGGCAAAATATCACTTTGTCATGGTGACGTGACGTCATGAACAATACTATGACGTCACGTTTCTTCTGTGACGACGGCGGGTAGCCAGCCTGTTTGAAAGTAGATTTGGGTTTATTTTCCTCAATTTGACGACTTCGGTAATAAACAGAATATTATATTCGTGCCCATGCCATACTATGTCTACGACACTCGTGCCTAAGTATCGGTATATCCTCTCTCTGGGGAAATACCAACATTTAGGCACTCGTGTCGTAAACATAGTATGACCTTGGGCACTCATATAATATCCTCTATATATTATGCATACAAACTTTATCTTACATAAAATTGGTCGAACTAAAAGACACTCCAATATGTACATTCTGTTCAAAATAATTTGAAACAATTGTTCATCTATTCTGTAATTGTTGTCATGTTAAAACATAAATGCGATATGTCTTGTTGTGAAACAAGTAATATTTACACAGAAGATAAAAGAACAAGTTCCAAACTTCAAGCATGTAGTAAGGGATATATCTATACTATCTGGTCATCTCTCCATAATCTATTTACTGAAGACATTATGTCAGATAAACATATTGTAGTCTATTCAATCGCTATTATCACTATTGGATATACATATATATGAGTGCATATTTCATTTCGGCAAAAATTGTAAATTCAGTAACCCATGCTTGTCGTAAGAGGCGACTAACGGTATCGGGTGGTCAGGCTCACTGACTTGGTTGACACATGTCATCGGTTCCCAACTGCTCAGATCGATGCTCATGATGTTGATCACTGGATTGTCTGGTCCAGACTCGATTATTTACAGACCGCCGCCTTATAGGTGGAATATTGCTGAGTGCGGCGTAAAACTAAACTCACTCACTGTAAATTATGTATCCTTGTTTAACTTTGAAATATTGCTGATTACGTCCATGACTATTCTGAATATACAAAACATAAACGGATGACACAAATCCAAAGATGATATTCATTTTAAGTACCTAGATATTAAAATATCTAGTTTTACAACATAACATGGCTTATGAGTTTTGAAATTTTGCATTTATTGCTTAAAAGGGGCCAACAAGCCAAACAATTACTTACATTTCTGATTTGCAAATATAGAGTAATATGTAGAACACAATTCAAAATGAGAATATGAATTATATTATGCTTACTTGAAGCTCTACTACTAAACATACTTGGACTACAAATTTCAGACATAAACAGATAAATCAATTTTCATTAAATAAGGAAAATGATAATGTTATAGCATGGACATTGGCATTAATTGTTACGGTAGTGACATTTTAAATAATAATCAGTGTTATATGTTTACTTTAAAAGATAATAAGATGTTACGGCAATCACATTGTGAATGAGTGAGTGAGTGAGTTATTATTTAAAGTCACATCTGCAATATTGCAGCCATATCGTGACGAGAACATAAAGTGACATTGTGATGGTATAAAATGTCACTACCTTAACAGTCCTACCAGAGCCGTGTCCTTCTTCAGCTACTGACAATATCGGTTTTATAACAATAACTGGTACCCAAAGTTTACTGAGCTCATGGCTTTAAATGATATCCCCTACTGTCTAAGGTACTTGACGTTGTTTGGTTTCACAAAATTAATTGGTTTCAGCGGTAGCCACCGTAACGATTAGGACATGCACAAATCTCAGATATCATTTTGTACACACATTTTTGCGATACATTTCAGAAAAAATGATTTATGTGTGTCTGTGTTTTACAGCCATGTTTCCTCACTGCCATTGCTTGCAAACATGAAGCAGAATTAGAGGACAGTACAGGGACTAATCATTATTGCAATTTGTGTGTTTGTGTGTGTGCTGTATAGGTAGTGACATCAAACCTTGTGACAAAGTTTGACCTTTTTTTACATAATGTTTTTCCATACAAAAAAGGCCAAACCAAGCCAAGCATGTAGCTGCAACATGATTAATTATGATAGGTTAAATATGTCTTTTGTAAAACATGAAAATGACAAAAAAACTCAAAGCGCACATCGGCCACTGGAGTTGTGACACATGAAAAATGAGTAAAATTAGGTGGTTTGGGTTGTATCCATAGTATGAATGGATATTTGTGACTGTGTATTGATGTGAAATGTATTCTAAAAGATAAACATATTGTATGTTATTCTATGGAAATAAATATGATAAAGATGCAAAGTAAATGTAACATAATACCTACAAAAGCTTAACAGCAATCAGTAAGAAACATCTAGCTTGGCAGCCATTCGCGAATCTATATTAAGTGTAAAGTTTTGATACATAGTCACTCATTTACTTCTAAGCGCTATATTTCTGAGAGATGAGTATCTCACAGTCTTCGTGTGACTATAACCATTATTATGGTCACCAGTATTGTACTACGACATCACGCCAGTGCCTTGACAATCATTGACTTCTTCTCCTCTGTCATGTTAATGTCGCTCCCCACGACAAGTCTCATGCTGATAAGGCTCTTTTCTGAGTTATACACCCCGAACATCGGCCACAAGGGTTGACTGGAGTCTACCTGGTCTACTGTCGACATCACTTTGTTCTCCTTCACATCAATGAAGACAATCTTCTTCCTGGCGTCATCATAGACGATACCGTAATGTAGTGTGCCTGATGCCCCTGCTGTGTTGGGTATGGTGTCAGGAAGATGTAACACACGTTTTCCCTCCTTCCTGATTGCCCTGCATATCCCTTCGTGAGTAATACAGGATTTGACGTCCAAACAGTAAGCATGAGGACGATTTTCTATACTGTGCTTTATGTCCCTCTCTTCCTTAGGACAGACACCAACCTCAAAGAGGAGGACGTTCGCATTGAGTGGTTTGTCCAGGCCAACCCTTGCCTCCGTCTCGAAGTACTGCAGACAACCAGTCCGGGCGAGGGGGGCACTACTACATGTCCCCCAGTAGTTCTTCAGTCTGTCTTCCTCTGCAGGTGTGGCATTCAGCCTTTTGTTGACCAGGTCTCCTTCTGCGTTGATGTGGGTTCTATCCAGGTTGACCATGTCCCTATCATATTTAAGATGTATACCTAGAAAACATGAATGAAATTTACGTATGATTACAACATGAGTATGAGAGTATGAAACCCGATTACCGAGCAATATTAGACTCACTATGACAGCAAAAAGAGAAATGAAATGTAATAATAATAATGCTAATTTTTGCGCCTAGAATCCAACACGACGTTGCTCTCTGGCGTTACATTATTACCCTGACGGAATTGTACTTTCAAAGCTGCTACTAAGCGCTAAGCGCGACCGCATAGGTCCGTACATCCGCTTTTCAGGTACCCATTTTGAACAGCTGGGTGGACTGAGTGCAATGTGGACGAAGTGCCTTGCCCAGGGACACAACACAGCATAAGATCCAGGTCACAAATGTTGGTGTCTCCACCGGGATTCGAACCCGGGCCTTTGGCGTGAGAAGCCAGCAAGCTAACCACTACACCACCGTGTACACCAAATGTACATACAATGAAGGATTGATGAGAAGTCCAGCTTTCCGGGATCCAGGAAGTAGATTCCTAGAGAAAAGAAAGAAGAGAAAATCAGTTTACTTCCGGTTTTAGTTTACTGCAACGACACCTCGTACGTTGGCCTTTTTCCTGACTGACGAGGAGACCTAATCATGCCAAACAGTAGAACGTCACATTTTATACATTGTATGAATAACAATCTCACCTTGTGATTCCAGATGGTCTGTTAAGGACGTGTGAACCTCCATTGCAGGTTTCTTAACCGTTTCAAAGGCCGAGCGTAAAAAGAGAAACACAGTTTTATATGAAAATGGCTTTTGCTTAGACGAAGGCGGTCTTTAACAGTGACCCACGTGTAAGGAATGGTGCACAAAATCATGACCTAATATTATATAATCTACGTGCACTAATACCATGACGTCAGTGCCTTTACTAGAACTGAAACCTACATGGCTTACCACAACGGTGTCAGTTGAACATCAACAATGATGAATAAATTATGGCACTTCAACAACCCACACTAATTATAATTATTACTAATAGTTACTGAGACAATGCATCTGAAATTACAACTTTTGAGATGTTGATGGTCATGTTTTAGTTATTTACCTTCTCCTGATCCTTGAAGATGGCAAGTTGAGATTGTAAATCTGGTGAATACAAAAAAGGTAGTAAATATAGATATTATTAAAGGGTATTCTTTAAAAACGTTTTTGTGTCCAACTGGTTTTTTATGCAATAAAATGAGTAAAACATGTTTATGATGTTTTGTTAACCATGAGTATAATGTATAAATGGACTGAAATACATGGATATGTGACCCGTGAAGGTTCGGGATAGAATAGGTCTTCAGCAACCCATGCTTCCCACAATAGGCGACTATGCTTGTCGTAAGAGGCGACTAATGGGATCGGGTGGTCAGGCTCGCTGACTTGGTTGACACATGTCATCGGTTCCCAATTGCGCAGATCGATGCTCATGCTGTTGATCACTGGGTTGTCTGGTTCAGGTTCGATTATTTACAGACCGCTGACATACAGCTGGAACATTGCTGAGTGCGACGTAAAACTAAACTCACTCACTCACATGGAAATGTGCATTACCTGTTATGGTCGGCATGGTATCTGCATCATCTACGTCCTTGTCAGACGTGCTGACTCTCCCAAACATTGCAACCATCTCGCGAAGAGCCTTATGTCCTGTAGGAGTGAATGTCAAGGCCTTTGTCTTGACCGAATCTTCAGGAAACGGGCGGAGTAAATCTTCGTCAATCTTGCTAACAATGGTAGACAAGAGACCCATGAATTGGGCGCATGTGGTAGACGCCATGGCCCTTTCAGCATAACTTAATGTAGCCAGTACAGCCGATTCTGTGGTTCCAAGGCATGCCATATCCTTCAGAAGATTACGCCTGTGCTTCTCAACTTCTTTCTCAATTTGCTGATTGTGAAACTTTAACCTTTTCACTAAATGCAGAGCAAGGTCAGTGTGTACGTCAGCTATTTCCTTCGTCACTTGATGAGCCCTATCCTCCAGCTCTGTCATCCGACTCTGTACCTGTCTAGAAGAAGTCTGTATCTTCTGCAGGTGTTCCTTGTGCTGATCTACTTTGTTGAGAAGAAGCACTTTAGTTTCTTGAAATGTTTCATCAAGATCTTTAATGCCATGGTCCTTGTGTTTTCCTATTGCACACACAGAACAAACTGATGTGTCGCATTGTTCATCGAAAAAATTGACAATCTTAGTAGGATGATTTGAACACGTCGAGAGAGGTAGTCGTTCCCGAATCGGCATTTCATTAAACTGCTCAGCCAATACTACAGCATGTTTTGAAGTTGCTCTTGTCGTGTTGTGTTTGTCGGTGCAGTTAGCACACATGGAGATGTTACACGTCTTACAATGACTTACAACTTTCTCGGTGCATTGTCCTGTGAGAAATTCACATTCGTGTTCATCTGTTGCAAGAGCAATTTCATTTCTCCTCACGAAGTCGACTGCTGTACGTTCCTTGTCCAAGTTGATGTCTCGCCCACAAGAGCAGACAATGTCCTTCTGGTTGTGCTGGTCAATGCAAGGTTTACAGGCGGCATGGAGACATGGCAAAAGCAGCAGCTGTCCTGTGTCACAATCTGGAGACGTTTGTAGAACACAGGCAGTTTCCTCAACTGTAGTAGCTAAAAACAAATAACAACAATGTACAGGTGATAGGTAATAAAGTTATGTAGTGACATATCACTGTAAGTTGAAAAGACGAACCTGGAGGTTTTAATGAGGTAGTCTTTTCGCTTTTTTTTCCGTCCGTATTGATGGTGGTAAGAGCCTCAAGTTTTTTCCGAGTTTCTTTCAAATCCTGAAATTAAGCAATTCATCTTCGCTGTAATCATAATATACCCAAACGAAGGATGATGTAGACACACTGACACCACATCATATTTACTGTCAATATTCTTAATCAGATGCAGATTATAGTTGAATTTGTACTCGTGCTTCTGAAGTTCAAAGAAATTTCCGACTTTCAGTGAAACAAGTTAATAACAGAGATTGAACCACTACCTACCTGCTGTAAATGGAGACATTTCCTTGACATACTTTTTTCTTTGTATTTCGTCTTTTCTAACTTTGTTTGAGCTGAAATGAAATTAGAAAATATACCATTACATTTTCCCCTTCTATGTGCATTAGTTGAACTTATCACATGCATGTTAAGTCAATTTCAGTCCTGTGTACAGTGCGTTGATAACAATGAGAAGCACGTATTGTATGTAATTCTTGTACCATGATCTCTCACCTGATTTCTGCTTGGTGTTGAGTTGCTTAATCTCCTTCTTTAACTTTGTGTTCTGCTCTTCGTGCTGTTGATTTAGTTTGTTGACCACTCTTTCATGTTCAACCTTACTATGTTGTACCTCTTGCCTTGCATCATCTAGTTCCTTCAACAGAATGTTGCAGTACCTGGATCAGCTTTTTACTCATATTTGTGCCACGCATACATCCCACGGCCACTCAAACAACCATTTCCATAATGTTTGTGATGTTACATCTATTCAAATGAAAACCTGCCCAAACAATCCCCTCAGGCATATTCCCAAATCACTGTCTACCTTTTGCAAAACAGCAATCCTCTGTTCCATCACAGATATACGTTCCTGTACCTCTGTCTCACTGACAAGCACCAAGCTGGAAACACCTTGAACAAAAGGGATAGATGAATGACACAATATACGCTATTGAAATACGTTCTGTCAGTTCCGTCAAACGTAACAAAAAGGGGGTGGGGGGTTGGGGTGAACTCTAACACAATATACGCCATTTGAAATACGTTCTGTCAGTTCCATCAATCGTAAAAGGGGAGTGAATTCTGGCAATATACGCCATTTCAAATACGTTCTGTCAGTTCCTTCAATCGTAAAAGGGGACCGAATGCTGGCATTATATGTACCATGTTCCCCTTGACATCCAAACGTCAATCATTACAAAGGCAGAAAATTCCGAACTAATTTAAGTATAATCATGCTTTCCATGGTCTTACAAACACATTAATATAGTGAGTATTGTTTGTTTGTTTGTTTGTTCTTTTAGGGGTCGTTGTTTGGTTTAATTGCATCAATGCCCTTGTCCTAAATGGTTTCCAATTGTTACCATAAAGCACTAATCTTCACAATGTATACCTCCCCTTTTCGCTGTATTGTCCAACATCTCCTTCAGGTGCTCGTGGGTCGTGTATAGCGCAGCACAGAATTCTTCATAGCCTTTCTGTCCCTTTTTAATCACTATCTCCAGCAACTTTTCAGTCTGTGCTCCTTTTCCGTCTTGTTCCTGACAATTCCTACGTTCCGTGTCACTGAAGACATGTGAAGACCACATGTGGTCAATCACTTCTTCTGGGTGCAGGTCCTCCTTCAGTGTTACAAAGTTCCGTCTGATAACTTCCGCGGGAGTCATGGTCTGTTTATCAGAATCGGCCTGCATCATGTTGTGTATCCAAGGTAATATGAAACTAAAGAGTAACTGAAATGAATGCTATATATTTGGTGAGACAAGTTTGTTACATACTTACATTAGTTTGTCTCATGGTCCCTGAACTACGTTTTCACATCCGACTAACTCTGTATTACAAAAGCTCTAAACAAAAGAAGTCTAGATCTTTTTTAGGTTCCAATCTCACTGGAGTTCCTATCAACATTACATATTTTCAGCAGCGTATACAAAATGTATATACCTCCAAATATTGCAAGGGGCACTGTGAAGACTCACCAATACCTAACCACTACTGGCACGAACATGAAATATATACAGCGTCAACGACCGAGAATAATCTGGACAATCAGGGTGGTCCGCTAAATCGATCATCCATCCAAATCTGCTCATATCATCCATCCTAATCTGCCCATCATACAAGGACGTTCATTAGTGTTGATGGATAATTGCCTAGCATGACACGCTACCCATTGAGTAGCCACTTGTCACCAGGTCGATTCCTTAGTCGTTTCATAGGACATGAAAAATATTACGCTTTTTTGTTCCTGGTAGACGTTCGGTATTACACGTGTACATATCTGATTCATAGCCGTAATGTGAAGCCACACACGTTCAGGGACGTACCTCTATACGGAAAAACCTATACTTTATCGCAGTTGCTGTACACAATGACCCTTGCTTACGGTTTTCCCTTGTAGCATATGTTATATTTGGGATTACACTTTCTTAGTAAAGTACAGATTCTAGTACTTTTGGGGGTTGAGTCCCATCTGGGATTCGAACCCACACCCTCAGAGTCAGGCACCTAATCGCCAGCACACAAAGTCAGACGCATAGACCGCTCAGCCATCGCGCCTTCCACTTAGTGTGCTGGCGATTAGGTGCCTGACTCTGAGGGTGTGGGTTCGAATCCCGGATGGGACTCAACCCAAAAGAGTACTGGAATCTGTACTTTACTAAGAAAGTGTAATCCCAAATGTTACATTTGACCGCTTTCTAAAATGGCATTGTGCATTTCACAGTTTACCCTTGTTTTGAACAATCAAACTAGTTAGTATGTTAAGTTATAAACAATCGTACTCAAAATAAATCTCGAATAAGCAAGTTATATATAGGTACTGTTTCAATCGCAAAGTTCATGACCACTGAAATCTTTGATGGACATAGTCCACATTCTCTACACCTAATATAAGTCGCGTACTTGATATGTGTACACAATAATAGCAGGTAAAAGCGAGTCATGGTTTGCATGCGTCACAAATTCCTCCTTGTAAATAGAAGGGTGCAGTGGACGTGCCTCGCTAATATTCTTGCTCTACAGTGATTCAACACGGGTATGATTACCACGTCAAGCAGAACGACTGTTTATTGACGCGTACATTGTACATGAATGTGTTTACCCTGAATATCAAAACAGCTAAATGTGAATAGGTAGGAGGACAAGGCGAGAGATATGGACAGGAGAAGAGTATTTGAAAAACAGCCCGTGCGGAGCAGTAATGAATTGGGCTATAGACTGAATAACTAAACAGAAACAGGATCAAAGATCCGTACTGTTACGATGATTGCCGCTACTGTTACGATTGTCTCCACTGTTATGATGATTACCTTAATTGTTACGATAATTGATTTATACTGTTATGATGATTGACTCTATTGTCACGATAAATATATCTAATGTTATCATTATAATCTATACAGTTATGAACGTTTTTGTGTCCCCGGGCGTAATGTTGCTGGAATATTTCTGCAAGCGGTGTAAAGTATACTTACTCACTCACTCTTCTGTGGCAATCATTGTCTCTACTGTTACGATCACTGTCTCTACTGTTATGATGATTATCTCTCTTATCATGATGACAGTGCCTCTACTGTTATGATTATTTCTCTACTGTTACGATGATTGAGTTGATGATTGTCTCTACTGTTACGGTGATTGTATCAACTGTTACGATGATTGTGTCTACTGTTATGATGATTGTCTCTACTGTTTCGATGATTGTGTCTACTGTTACGATGATTGTGTCTACTGTTTCGATGATTTTCTCTACTGTTACGATGATTGTGTCTACTGTTATGATGATTTTCTCTACTGTAACGATGATTGTGTACTGTTATGATGATTGTCTCTACTGTTACGATGATTGTTTCTACTGTTACGATGATTGTGTCTACTGTTATGATGATTGTCTCTACTGTTACGATGATTGACTTGATTGTTTCTACTGTTACGATGATTATGTCTACTGTTACGATAATTGTCTCTACTGTTACGATGATTGTGTCTACTGTTATGATGATTGTATGTACTGTTACGATGATTATCTCTACTGTTATGATGATTGTCTCTACTGTTACGATTTAAATGTCAAATGTTCTCGTCACGATATGGCTGAAATATTGCCGATATGACGTTAAATATTAACTCACTCACTCTACTGTTACGATGATTGTCTCTCCTGTTATGATGATTGTCTCTACTGTTCCGATGATTGACTTGATTGTATCTACTGTTATGATGATTGTCTCTACTGTTACGATGATTGTCGCTACTGTTATGATGATTGTCTCTACTGTAACGATGATTGTGTACTGTTATGATGATTGTCTCTACTGTAACGATGATTGTGTACTGTTATGATGATTGTCTCTACTGTTACGATGATTGTGTCTACTGTTACGATGATTGTGTCGTAACAGAATAGACAATCATGATAGCAATAGAGGTAGTGTATGGCGGAATAAAGCAATCATTGTTTTATATATGTGTTTAAGATACGTGAATGAAAACTGCTTCTGCAAGATATACCAGACACATCACTACAAGCCCTGTTTGTACAAGAAGATTCATCTGAAACGTGTACGTGCAGATGTCACGGGACAATACAGTCAACTCTCGTTAATCCGACACTTGTGGTTGCAGAGATATATGTCGGATTAACGAATGTCGGATTAATGAAAATGTCGGATTAATGTATATTTAAAGATTCAACTATATATTAATATACAATGTGAGCACAAAAGAATAACCAGTCTTGTTCATCATTAACAGATACTGGGCGGTGGGGTAGTCGAGTAGTCAAAGCGTTGGCTCGTCACGCCGAAGACCCGGGTTCGAATCCTCACATGGGTAGAATGTGTGAAGCTCATTTCTGGTGTCCCTCGCCATGATGTTTCTGGAATATTGCTAAAAGCGGCGTAAAACCAAACTCAGTAAGTCAGTAAGTCACAAACAGATACCAGTGGGGTGATTGTCAAATCAGCTGTGAAAATTACAAAACTGAAAACTATTAATGCCAGCACGTGTTCGTAAAATGGGTCAGGATGACCATTCCCAAGCAATTTCAGTGTTAAGTGTAATAGTGCATGGGCATGATCTACAGGCTAACGATTAGGGCCTTACCTTCAACTGCAGATGTGCAATGTTTGTGTTGGAACCTATGCATCTATGCGTCAAGCCATGACAGGCCACGACATACCTCCAGCAGTCTCAGATCAAAACAGACGTTACCTGCAGTTACCACCCAGCCCATAACCGCCCGTATGAAGTTAGTGTCATACTCGCTCTGGAAATACTTCCTGTTGTGTTAAGTAGGACAGTGTCGCTCTGTAGTCTATAGACACTGCGCTAGGTATTAAGGCTAAGTCAGAAGATATGATTACTGATGAATACTGACCTATTATCATAACCTTTAAGCACATGTCATTACACTGTCTAAGAGACTAATGTTTTCAAAGCGTTCTAGTGGCGATGGGGTAGCCTAGTGGTTAAAGCGTTCTCCCGTCACGCCGAAGACATGGGTTCGATTCCTCACCTGGGTACAATGTGTAAACCAACTTCTGGTGTCCCCTGCCGTGATATTGCTGGAATATTGCTAAATCGGCGTAACACTAAACTCACTCACTCAATCCAAGCCTTCATGCCATCCAGGTCAGACGGTCAACTCGGTCTAACACAGGATATGAGGCAGAACAGGCCATAAATACTATATTAACTTCTAGGCTCACCCACAATGTCCTTATCCCTATAAATATTTTGAACGATATCTTAAAGTATAACAATGAATGACCCATTTCAACGAATATTATCAACCGTACGCTGATCTTGGTATGTCATGGTGAACACCTACCACGTGTTTGTTTAACATACGATGAGACGCCGGCATTGTACCACTGGAAGCTATATCTAGGTTATCGCCTGGGAGTATTTCACAACAGCAGGTAACTATAATAGTCAGTCGCCCAACCTGTGGACAGTGAATAATGATACTGTGTTTGCTGCTTATACAACACGAAGGGTATGTATTATCTAGTACTAGTTCATACACTATGTCAAGGATCGCTTCTTTTCACTTCAATGGACACACATGCGAGTACTGTTGTCAGCGCTAAGTCAGGTGGGTAATTTCTCATGCATAGCGCTCAGGTCGCAACCAGTTGAAGTTAAGCAATGTTGGGCGCGGAGAGTCCTTGAATGGGTGACCGTGTGTGACAGCTTGACTTAGCCTTGCCCCACAAAGAAGCACACGTGATCTCACCTTAGGCAAGTGAGTTTGTTCAAAATTGCCTCTGTTCACCCAGCAGAAAATGGGTACCCGGTGAAATTAGTCGTGAGACTATTAACCGTCTAGCGCCTAACAGGCAGCTCGGGTTATTCGGGGTCATAATAACCAGACTTTGAGCTTTGAGCAAGTTATCTAGCCTGGAAAACGAGCGTTATAAATATTCTCATTATTATATACACTGTGGGGGGCTAAACTCTGGCTAGATTTTTCCCTTTGTTATGTTACATCACCATGCATATTTGGTAATTTCTACTTCTCCAAGCGTCACATTGGTATCCCTAAATGATTGTGGAAAAGGCGGAGCGGCGGACATGTACAGAGTGCTGTCCCTTAGCCGTAGCAGGATCAGAGGACCCTGGGATCGAACCAATGATTCATTGATTCCTGATTCAGTTTCGTCAGGGGCAATACAGTGATTCTTGTTCGTCAGAAACATTGTGCGACTTCTGTTACAGTATAGTATCCAATGAGTTGACACGTTTTGACATAATTCAAATTACTAAAATCAAACTCGCGCATTCTCCCTAGGTACCCAAAGTCTGTGTCGTCTCTGGGGGTATACTTCGCACATCTATCATATTTATCTAATGCCTTTTCGATGTATGCCACGTTACCTTGAATTAAACTGGACTAGTTTATAGTTTGACTGAACACCAGAATGATCATTGAACTTCTAATAGGAGACAATGGAGACGGATTGAAATGTGGAGTATATGTCTCCAATATTTCTAAGCCACACTAAGTGAAGTGAGAAGTTCAACTGGCTATCGATAGTTCACAGAGATCGATAATCGTTAACTAAAAATCAATCGGTTATCGATAAGTATCGAAGACATAACTTTGAGCAAAATGTCTGAAAGAAATGAATACATTTCACAACACTGGTACGTGGTAACATGTTTTTGCTCGGATTATTACGAAAACAGTGTCCTGAACATAATTTAGAAGCAGACCATGAATAAAAACCTAACTTTGTATATTCTGTGAGAAAATTAAAACGCTTTTCTATGACCAACGTGAAATACAATATTATCGATAACACAATTTTCACATCGATAAACATTATCAATATATCCTATTGACGATATTTCCGAATATCAATTATTTCGGCCAGACCTATAACTCAAAATATCTGGAATCATGTTATTAAGCATTGTGTTGTGAAAAAAAAATAGTTCCGCATATTTTACCACTAATGGGGTTGAGATAAAATTAACTATTCATCCAGCGTGATTTGATCACTTCTTTTTGAAAAATGGCCCTTCTGCCCATGTTCTATAGTAATCCTTCAATAATGTAAGTGATTGGTATAGAAACTTAGTATTATTTGTTAGGTTTTCTCTTGAACGTGACCACGTTTCTGAATGTGCTATGATAGCAAGCCCACTTTCCTATAAACAATAATGCGTTCCAGATGACTAGCGTTCAATATTGTTTGTGATTGTCACGGTTGCATGAAGGTGAACCTAAGCGCTCGGCTCCTAATCAAATTAGAGGGAACATAAAAATTTAGAAACACAGTACATCTTTCACCCATTTATATGGTAATTGTATGCATTTTGCCGAGTTGTTACAGCAATAGATGTCTGTTGCAGCATACGTCAGACTCGATGAATTAGTTGGTATTGCGTTGTCACACAACGACGACGACATGTCGATGTGATGATGGCTATCATTATATCAGCCACTGGTTTTCCTGTAGGAATTGTAATAGTTTTACATGCTGGAATGATCAAAACTGGTTCACTTGTGTTGGCAGTGACGGGCAAAGACCTGACATTGTCTCTCAAACATCATGACTGTAAAGAGGAGCCATATAGATAAGGGATACTCTTGTGTGGTGCTCTCATGGTATGATGATCAACAATGTTCCACTTGTGTTAGCAGTGACGGAACCAAGGCCTGACAGTCATGGCTGTACAGGGGACCCACATAGATTGGGACTACTCTTGGGTGGTGCTCTCATCTTATCATGATCATCAATGTTCCACTTGTGTTGGCAGTGACGGAAGCAAGGCCTGACAGTCATGGCTGTACAAGGGGCCAACATAGATCGGGGCTACTCTTGGGTGGTGCTCTCGGCAGCCTTTGGAATCCAGTTTCTCGTGGGCATGCTGATTTTTAATGTGGGAGCCATGACCAGCGCCATCTTAGAGGAAATTGACAGCGACCTGACCAGGACGTCATGGGTAGGAGCTACACTGAACGCAACAATCACTTTACTGGGTACATATGTTGAAGCATTATGTATATTTACTCAAATGTAATGAGTAGCGACAAAAACTAGTGACTGCTTGTTGATGATTTAAAATACTAAACGACCTCATGTAATTGCAGCCACATAAGCATAGGGTATCAAGACTCGTTTTCATTTTTCATTGTCTATAAAGGTTCTGATCGAAATATATTTTATGTCGATATATAGACATGTTTTTTTTTAATTTACCCTAAACCCTTGACCCAGTACAACACATATAGCTAAATATACGCCCGCCACAACAACAACTTTGTCAGTTTACAATGTCTTGGTTCCAGGTCCATTCGTGGGTATTTTTAACCGCAAATTTGGTGCCAGGGTTACAACATGTGTGGGAGGTTTGATCACATTCAGTGGACTCACAGCAGCCTCCTTTACTAGAACTGTGCCCGGCCTTCTTGGAACATATAGCTTTCTTTCAGGTAAATCACTCTCATGTTGTTGGTCATTTTACTAGAACTGTGTCGCCTTCTTGGAACATATAGCTTACTTTCAGGTAAATCACTCTCATCCTATTGGTCATTTTACTAGAACTGAGCCCGGTCTTCTTGGAACATATAGCTTACTTTCAGGTAAATCACTCTCATGCTATTGGTCATTATACCAGAACTGTGCCCGGCCTTCTTGGAACATATAGCTTAATTTCAGGTAAATCCCTCTCATGTTATTGGTCATTTCGGTTGATGTACTGATACGTTTACTTAGGTTGACATGAGCAGCTTTCCTATGTACATTTCGGGCACTTTCATAAGGTTTAGGTCATTCAATATATCGTGCATATGATAGATAACAGATCAGCCAAGTAACAATAATACAGTTTTATCAGGTTTCTCTTAATACAGGTTGTGGATTTGCCTTGAGTGTCAACGTTGCCGGATCCGTTCCTGGTCACTACTTCGACAAGAAGCGTCCAATAGCCTTTGCTGTGTCTATGTCTGGGGGTGGATGTGGAATGTTTCTAGGAGCTCCACTGATCCGATACCTCCTTGAGACATATTACCTAAGTGGGACAATACTCATCTTAGGGGCCTTGTCATTCCATATATGCATAGCTGGGCTTATCATAAGGGATCAGGACAGCAAAAGTGCTGAAACAGCAAACGAATCTTTTGAAGAGCTTCCTATCAGGTGTACAAAGGATCCAACCAAACCGTGTGGTAGTGATTCATCAGTGGCGCTTGAAAGTGAATCAAAACGATTGATGGGTGATGAAGACACTGATGAAAAACATCAACCTGAAGCAAACAAGTTCACCAAAGAGAATATCGAGTCCAAATGGACAATCCAAAAGTCATCTAGTCAGGCTGTCGATGATAACGGAGCTCATGTACTTGACACAACACCGTCTGGGGAAAGTAGAAAATATAAACTGCTACAAAATCATTTTTCTATTGCTATGCGAAGTGGATTTATTGTGTATGTAGTAAGCATTTTATTTTGGTCTATAGGAGAATCATCTTGTTATCTTCATCTGCCCAACTATGCAGCTTCTAAAGGAAATTCACCAACCGAGTCTAGTACTCTTTTCACAATCATGGGCATTATGAATGTTATATCCAAGATTCTGGCAGGGTTTGCAGCCACAGACCCTGCCATTGGTTACTACCTTCTCCATATGGGGATGCTTGGCATGGGAGGGTTAATAACCTTGTTATTTCCTCTCATGTCGAATCAGTTCTACCTACAATGCATATATGCAGCAATCTTTGGACTGCAAATGGGAGGACCAAATTCACTCCTTAGTCCTATTACTATAGACCTTATTGGACTGTCTGCTATAGAAGTTGGATTCGGAATGCTGATGTTTTCTTTTGGAATTGGATTCCTGGTTGGAGCTCCCCTTGCAAGTAAGTAGTGTTGCTGTGGTGATCAACCATTGTAGTTTATTAGTAGATAGCGATGTAGTCATGTTTATTGTGTAACGTTTAATGTGATGGAGAAGAGTGATGACTTCACCATTCGGTTTGTGGTGTGCAATATTCCAGCCCTTTGTATTTACATTCCAGAACATGTCGTGTACATTCAAACATGGTATTTCAACGTTTAATGATATAAAATAGGTTCATGAACTCAGGGTTACAGCAATCACGACCCCTTGTTGCTTTACCTTCTGTTATCGCTTGTCTCTGAACCGACATCATTTTTGTGTAACCAACTGCGCATGGATGTTTCAGGTACCATCTTTGAAGTTAGTGGAGTGTACGACTACACTTTTGTGTTTGCAGGTAAAATGCCAATAAACTGATAGTTTATTGTTTTTAAATATTAAAACGGACCAGATACACATTCCTTCTAAACGCATATGTTGGAGTGAGTGAGTTAATATTTAACGTCACATCGGCAATATCTCAGCCATATCGTGACGAAAACAATTTATACAATCAAAAATGAAAGCATTTTGGAGAGTAAAACCTGTAGACGATTGACAGTACAAATACTAGAATATCACATATGAGAACATAAAACTAGCCTGTCAAACTAAACGATTTTAATTGAAGAAGACAATACAATATAATACACGGGCTGTAGATCACCAACAACTGAAGGTAGATCACCATACTAGGAACCATGGGGACTTACATTACTTTCACTACCTACATGGACCCTAGCTGGATTTACACCATCCCTTCAGCCGCTGGCGATGTAGGAAGACGCATATGTTGGACGTATCGAAAAAGGAGTACGAGTCGCTATTGTATAGCGACATAATGACACTGCCTTTACATTTGTCCTCTAAATCACAGTGACATTGAAGGAAATACAGCCAAGTAGACATGAAAGCTTTTGTTTGTTCGTTCGTTGTTTTACGCCACACTAAGCAATATCATAGCGCGGCACGGCATGGCATCGTCCGATGTCCTCAAGGACAATTTGAGGAAGTCTTGTCCTATACCTTTGTTTATTTGATTGTTGTTTAACGCCGCACTCAGCAATAGTCCAGTTACATGGTGGCCATTTGTAAATTATCGAGTTAAAACCAGACAATCTAGTGATTGACATCATGAGCATCGATAGTGCAACACTAATGTCGGCACATGTATGTTCTGTCATTTGCCTGGATATATACAATGAATTCCCCTTTTCTTACTGATGTATATTTGCAGGCCTTTGCATGATACTCGCTTCTGTCTGTGGAGCCCTCCTACCCATGTTCAAAGGAAGGAATTCTTCACAACTTCGACAGTCCTTTGAAAGTCAACATGACCTTGAAACTGCATGTATGAATTAAAAAGAATAACATTTCATTCGGGGCAGTAAAAAATCAAAACTGACTGTGTTTATGTGTCACACTTAATTTTGCCTTTAAGCATTAAATGGGTGCTAACAGTATTCATGCCAATAGTGCTTTACAGTACTTTAAGTACTATTCAAGCAGCAGGGGAACCAATCATGTGTTTACTTGTTTACAACTGATCATGTTAGGATGTTTTAAGTACCATTTGACTGGAATGGTAAGCATGTTTTCTCTTTTATATATTCGCTGTCACGTGTTTCTTGTGCATGTGTTTATGGTGGGTGCCATTGGGGGGATGAGGATACGCTCACCTTTTCACGAACACCTGCTATCACCACTATCTGATTCATATGCTATGTCATCGTATCGCACGGTGTCAAGCACTGGGTTGTCAGGTCCAGACTAGACTGTTTACAGTATCGCATGGTGTCAAGCAGTGGATTGTCAGGTCCACACTCGACTGTTTACAGTATCGCACGGTGTCAAGCACTGGATTGTCTGGTCCACACTCGACTGTGTACAGGCCACGCTGTATACCTCCAATTCTAGCGAAATGCGCCCTTAAACAACACCAACCAACCAAAACCAGCTCTTACCACCAGAGACTTCCTAGGGCAAAAGGGTGTGTCGTTTCTATTTATATGGACACACTCCTAAATGATCAACAACATTACCACTATCCAGGCTGGCTAGTCTATCTAGTGGTCTTCTGCCCAAGCAAAGGTTGATACCGCGATAGCATAATCAGTAAGACCCCACACAAGTAAGTGATACACAACATTATGTACAAGGAGAATATATACATGATGGATATTTGAGTTATAGAATTGAAGACGTTGATGTACATACAGTGTGATGACATTACTGGTAGTTCTTGTGATTATAGATTGTCCATAATGTAGCGTATCACTTGATAACGGTGCTAGGGTCTACACCAAAACGTCGCATCTAGTACAAAAGTGTTCGACTTCATCATACCAGTTTCTAAATGTCACTTAAAGAAGAAGAATACCTTTTAACTTTACCTGTGACACGGTCATGTGATCTACCCAAGCTGAGCCATCATACACATCTCTTACACATGTTCACTTCACCATGGGGGGTGGTCAGAAGAAGTATGTGTGTGCGTTTGTATGAAGGAAGCTAATTTGTATAAGCATGGAAATTAACATTTAACACGACTTGTGTAACATAAAACCTACATAAGGTGTATACAAACAAATTACATAAGGTGTATAACACAACGTTATATAAAACAGAACCTGCAACGTTACACAACACAAATCATGCAAGATATAAGATTTCGTAGCATATTTAACGATTTCACCACGTATCTCACAACGCTTGCCGGACTGATTGTGTTCTCGGAAGGAAGTAATGACACTGAGACCGTAGCTTGCGCTTCATACATCATACATATTTACGTTTTGTAGAGAGTTATATAAAAGAAGCTATAAGTACCACAACAAAAGCATGATTTATGGATGTCAGCTTCTTTATTGTGAATAACACGACGTTTCGGAGTGTGTGCTTGCTCCATCATCAGGTGAAGGAGTAAGCATACACTCCGAATCGTCGTGTTATTCACAAGAAAGAAGCTGACATCCATAAATCTTGCTTTTCTTATGCATTCCACTTCTAAATGCCCTTCAAAGATTATAAGTACCACATTATAATAGTAGCGTGGTGGTGGTGATGTCTGGGAGCACCTGCCTAATACTAGCCAGGATAGGGTTTACACCTTCCTTTTTCGTCTCGGGGTCAAAGCTTACATAACCAAACACGGATTAAAGATATACTGTATAATTAATATCAACCTTTGTAAATAATGAGAAGTGACATAGCTATATCATAGTTAATACCAATGACTGGCGATGAGTGTTAACATTCTTAAAGAAGTTATGGTTATTAAGTGCTTAACCTGAATGGGACCTATGAAGATCCAGATTAGAATTGATCTTCAGCAACCAATGCTTTACCTAATTTGATGACAACCTGAGTAAATAATGATATATATACATATATATATACATATATATATATATATATATATATCACAGTTAAAGGATATCAATGCTAATGATGACTGGCAATAGGGATAAACATTCTTACAAGGTGATGATGATGCTGATGCTGCTGCTGCTGCTGCTGATGATGATGATGAAGGTCAACAATATTCGGATATTACCAAACTGGAATTTGTATTGTTTTCAAAATATAGAATGGTACATATATGGTCCTGTTTCACAAATATATCTGGACGGAGATGTATCAAATACTAGCATAGTGATCTGGATCACAGCATGCTTGATGCCAGCCAAACCTTAATGTGTTTTAACACGAGTGGAGCGGTTGCGTGTTTGACGGTTGGGATCGATGCTCATGATATCTATAGCTGGATTGTCTGGTTCATATTCGATTACCTAAAGCCTGAATATTGATGAGTGCGGTGCTACCTTTTACTTTAATATACTCTCCAAAAAAAAGAAACGCACAACAAAATTGGAATTTTGATCCATCCGTGAGTTGGTACAGGGATGATTTTACAAACAAGTTTCATTTATTTATGTTTTTATGTGAAAACATCATATCCAAACGCATCTAGCATGAAATACCTGTATGTAACCGCGTGATTTTGAGTTGGTGCATGTCACAGAACACATTATGAAACTTGGGACTCACATCGTGTCACTGATGAGTATAAAAGATCGATCACTGATTTTTGTTTAGTCACTTTATTTGAGAGTTTCTAAAGAATTAAAAATGCCACGACTCAGCTGCGCCAATCGAATTATTGCTATCGGGCTTCTCACGCAAACATACCCGGATTACGACAATTATCCGCACAGACTGTCAGGAACAGGCTTCGAGAGGCGGGTTTGAGAGCACGAAGACTGTTCTTTGGCCCTGTGCTACGTCAGCTACATCGACAATATCGTGTTCAGTGTTGCACCACCGTTCGGGTCTGGACTATGGCTAATTGGTGTCGAATCTGGTTCTGCGATGAATCGAGTTTCTGTTGGAAAGACGCGATGGAAGAATGAGAGTGTACAGACGCCGCCATGAATGTTTTGCCGACGCCTGCGTCATAGGCCCCCACTGCGGGTCAGAAAATCGATTTACTAGGTCCCGGTTTAGTATCCACGCCCCCTACTATATAACATGTAAAGTATACAAAACTAGATCGTCAACGCAATCAATTTGGTTAATAAAATGACAACAAATGCACGTGTGAAAATGAGAGGGAAACTCAAACGTCTTTCATCCAAGATGTCACGGTCTGATGTTTTATCTTGGTGAGAATAATTCTAAAAACGAATAAAGATATTTTTTAAAGAAACACAAAATAATCCATTCATTCAGTGTAATGTGTTAGCCGATCAGATCGTCGGAGGTAGTGAAGTCAAGGGCTGACGACCTATTTTTGTATACTTCTGGCACAGCAACTCGGTCTTCGGCGATTTAATACAAAACATCAAATGCATCACCACGGAAAGAGCATGCATATGCCCCCTACACACATCGGAGATATGGACAAGAGCTTTTGATACTTGTGAGACCTTGAAAATATGATATATCGGTTGACGTGTGCGTAATTGTCCGGTTTTCGATAATGTCACCGTATTTCTGTGATGAACTTTTACATGTTATATAGTAGGGGGTGTGGATACTAAACCGGGGCCAAGTTTATCGATTTTCTGACCCGCAGTGGGGGCCTATGGCCTGCGTCCCCCAGGTTGACCGATTCGGGAAGGGAAGTGATTTGGTGATCTGACTGCGCAACGCTATACTGTGCTGACATCATTCGTCCACACCTGCTTCCTATTCTCAACTGTCAGAGGGAGCTGTTCCAGCAGGATAATGTCAGACCAAACACAGCACGTGACCACACACAGCCGCAGACCCTTCAACAACTCGCCCATGTACCACAGGCAGAGTGGACTGCAATTCAGCAACATCAGATCCAGAGACTGACTGGCTCGATGCCGAGCCGATGTCGCGCAGTACTGAACGCAATGGTCGTCACACTAGGTACTAACCTCAGTGCCGCCAAGCGACTTTGTGTGATCCTCTATGTGCCTTTTTCCGAGGTTCTACCAAACATCGATATTGGGACATTACCTATGCGAAGTTTCATTGCATTTCGTTGATTATTTAAACCAATACAATGTATCATAATAAGGAAAACAAATTAGTTCAAATTATTATATGCGTTTCTTTTTTGAGAGAGTATATATCCAACTTTATGAATGTCGGTATCTACCGGTAAACTACATGCTTATACTTGTCTGTTAGGATCCGGTTTTGTTTCGAACAGCCAGCTGAGTTTAACATATTTGGGGCTGTGTGGTAGCCAGGTGGTTAAAGCGTGCGCTCGTCACGCCGAAGACCCAGGCTCGATACCCTACATGGATATAATGTGTGAAGCTTATTTCTGGTGTTCCCCCGCCGTGATATTGCTGGAACATTGCTAAAAGCGACATAAAACTAACTTCGCCCACTCACTCACTTAACGTAATTGTGACAGAAGTCATAAAACTTTCAGGTTGGTATGTTGACTTGGGAAATTGATCGTATATTTCACAGCAAGCATCATAACCGTAGATAAAAAGTTCCCATGAAAGCGACACCATACATAATTGTATGTAAATTGTGTGAGAGTTACGCATTCATTTAATGCACAGACTATCACGGACAGTATTTCAGAAGCACGTGTTACTGAAACTGCAACTATGATTTACACGGCTGTTCATGTTGTACACTTATAGACCAGCGTGAATACAGTACACCAGACGGTTAACTATGGTGTCCTATAATTGCCATCGCGTGGCGCGTAAAAAAAAGAACTACGTCGTGGGCGACGTCGCCTTCGACGTCGTGGACGACGTCGATTTTGTATTTTTGTCGTAGATCATTCTTGTGTATTTCTTTTTTATACGACGTCGTGGGCGACGTCGCCCACGACGTAGTTCTTTTTTTACGCGCCACGCGATGGCAATTATAGGACACCATAGTTAACCAACAGTGGGTCGGCAG